TTAATGTCGGTATTAATGATCTTGTTAATGTCGGTATTAATGAACTTGTTAATGTCGGTATTAATGAACTTATTAATGTCGGTATTAATGACTGTATTATTTACGAGTTCTATTTCTGAACATCAAGGTAGAAAGTATTTACCAACAGGTTGGGTGGTGATGCGTGAATTGGTCTCTTCCACAGTTGTATACAATGTCTCATCTCCCACTGTGTAAGGGACAGTGAAAGTGGTGGTGGTGAAGAAAGTGAGCACCACGGATTTAATCGAACTAGAACTGCTTACGTGGTCGTCAGTTTTATTACGTAAAGATGGAGTTGTAATAAAAGTCCTCAACCTTCTACTCACTTTGACATACGGTCTTCTTGATGGTTGGACAATACCGAGTGGGTTAGTTCTAGTAACAACGTAATACTTTGGTCGACTTGTAACGTCCAGACGAGATGGCAAGACAAACCTTGCGTTTGTTCTAGTAGTCCGTACTCCTGCAATGGGCCTTCGGACTGTTATTTTTAGTCTCTTTCTATTAGCAGGCGTTGTTCCAAATTCAGCAGAATTCAAGGTTGATATGCTTTCGATTGAGTCATCCGAACTTGACGTCAAAAAAGGAGTTAAAACAATATTTGCAGATGCTTCTGCTAGTTTATTATCGAACTCTGGAGTTGCTACAACATTTTCAGGCGAAGGTATGAGAAACTTAGTTGAATGGAATAAACTGTTTCTCTGGTTTGGATACAAATCTGATAAAGTCGTAGGTTGATTTTCGTCTGTTAAAAAAGATGTTATTTTAAGTTTTGAGGTAGCAGGTTTCACACGAACACGCACGCCCGGTCTTGGTGGAAATGTTCGACTTTTCAGGGCACCAGAGGTCCTTCGTATGATGGACGTAACTACACGAACACGAGGTTTGTTTTCAAACAGGGTTGTGTCCGTTTCGCTTCTCGATGGGATTTCGGGTGTAACATCCACAGAAAGAGAGCGTTGATTCGAGAAACTAGCATCTTCGGCTGAAAAGTAAGATGGTTTTAGTTGTGAGTGCTCAAGTGAAAGATAGTCCTGTTGTGAAGTTTCAACGCGCCCTTGCATATAATTTGATGCCAAAATTGGGCCACTATCTTGAGATGGAACGAGTGCATCTGTGGGCATTGCTGTCCTTAAAACACCATTTTGGAAACCATCCAGTTTCAGAAGTGTTTGCAGAGAGAGTCGAAGGTGCGTCGTAGTGCCGTCAACAGCTGTTGATCCCAGGTTTACTATTCGGTTCACTGGACGAACAGTAAGGAAACCATTGCTGTCTATGGTGTTTACGAAAGAATACTTTAGAAGTTCCTCGTCTGGTGTTGCAGTACTTGAGATGACTTCAGTGCGTGTTGACTTCTGAGTAGTTAAACTATCGTAAAAAGTGTAAAAGTACGTGAAGTGTGTATAGTACGTTTTAGCAATGGAATCCAGGTAACTTACGTCTATTGTCTTTTGTTCACCAAATGTTGGAACAGATGTTGTTGCGAATATTGCACGTTGAATATCATTGTTAAAAATCTGAACTCTGGACCCAAGATTGACAATCGTTATTGTTCCTTCTCGTGATCTAGAACCAATGGGTGTAATTTTCTGATCCTCCACACGAGTTATATAACCCGACTCTTTCTCAATAACACTCACAATAGCAGGGTTGGGTGTTTGTAGACTAATGCTAAAACGCACGGCTTCTCTGCTAGTATAAACAGGAACAGTTCCTTGGAGAAACGTTGTGAAGTAAGTAAACGTTGTATAAAAAGTCAAAGGCAAAACCGTTGAGTACAACTTCTTATGAAATGTCTCAACATCCAAATCATTAGAATGATCTACATAACTTAACACCGGTCCCCTTGCTTTCACAGAAGTAGCGATCCCCACCGGACTTTGGGGGTTTACTCTTCTGGTCACAATAATTCGTCGGTTGCCCTCTGATTGTCCCAAAGGGCGTTTCAAGCGAACAACACGTCTTATAGGTTTTGGAACCGAAACGTCATCTATTTCTTCTGATGAGAAGACACGGTCATAACTTAGCTGTGTACTTTCTAAATTTGTATTTCTTAGAGGTGTTGCAAGTACTGATGGGGAAGCCTGATTTATCCTAGTTCTTCTTATTACGATAGGTCGGGAACCTTGTAGGTTCAATCCACCAGAGGGCTTGACTCTCCGAATAAACGTTCGATATTTTTTTGCCTTCTTTATGATTCTGCTATTAGCTGTGGAAGATTCGTCGGGAGCTGTGTTAACTGTTTCTTCAATGTATTCTTCTTCCTGTGGCTCTGTTATGAAAAATAAGTTAGCTATAACTATTGCTGGAGCTACCAGACATAAAATATTACTTTATATATAGCATACAAGTGAAGGTAGTCTGTAAAGGCGTTAAGGAAGAAATAAACCTAATTTTTTATCGTTACGTGGCGTTATTTCCAACAAATAGTTTAAAAGAACAAACTCAACGAAAGAAAGACGTTACAACAATATATTGGTCTCGTCCGCACTCAGTAACGTAACTAAACGTAAGTAATGTTTGTTTTTGTTTTTGGAATTTCGCGCAAAGCTACACGAGGGCTATCTGCGCTAGCCGTCCCTAATTTAGCAGTGTAAGACTACAGGGAAGGCCGCTAATCAACCCCCCCCCCCCCCC